AAAATTTCATGATATTTCTTTATTGATGATATTTTTCATTTTTTTACTTGTCCACGTTTTTTTGAGCAATACTGTATATTAATATCTTATTATAAGAATAAATTTTAAAATATTTTATACTTTTGTGTTTTTTGAGTCACTTTAGAAAATTTTTTGAAAAAAATATGTGCAAAAAAATAAGACCACAATAAATTTAATATTTAGTATTATTGCCTTTTACTTTAAAAACCTCTTAAATACGTTTATTAAAACTTTTAACATACTTTGCTATTAGTGTTTGAGGTAGAGAATACCAAATATCTTGAATTTTTTCTCTTAATTCAATTTTACTTAATTTTCCTATTTTTGCTAATTTAAACTTTATATAAGCCAACACAGCCTCAATAGGATTTAGATCAGGACTCTGTGGAGGCCATTCTAAAACATCAATGTCATTTTCATCGAACCAATCATTAACAAGCCTTGCAGTATGCTTTGGGTCGTTATCTTGCATGAATATAAATTCATCAAGTCCCATTTTACGTGCTGATGCCAATAGATTTTGTGATAAAATCTGTTTATAAGATGCTGCTGTCATAGTTGATTCTACCTCAACAAGTCTTCCAACACCTTGTGATGAGATACAGCCCCAAAACATAAGACATCCACCTCCATGTTTTACTGTAGCAACAGTATTTTCTGGTTTATACCTTTCACCTGGTAAATAACGCACATATTGAATTCCATCACTAGTAAATAAGTTAAATTTACACTCATCTGAAAAAATAATAGTATCCAAAGTTTCATTTGAAATACCTAAAAATTTTTTTGATGAATTAAATCTTTTTACTATGTTTTGTGGTCTCAATAGTGGTTTTTTAGCAGGTTTTTTAGTTATTAAACCAAAATCTTTAAGAATTCTTGCTATAGTAAATCTAGAAATTTCAATATTGAACTTATTACAAAATATTTTTGTAATATCTAGTAAACTCAATCGATGATTTTGATCATAGACTTTGAATAATTCAGATTTTAAATCATCATTAAGCTTTTGAGGCCTTACTGATCCATACTTGCGAGTAATTGGTAGGTTATTATCTATTTTAAACTTAACATTTGAAACGGCTGTTTTACTCACGTTTCTTTTAATAGCAATAATTCTTTGGCTAATTCCTTTCGAAAGATCATCCTTTATTAAAACTAGTAACTCATATGGTAGTTGCTTAGACATTAGCCTTGAAAAAAAACTGTTTAAATATTAAAAATGGAGCGAAATTTTATTGTGGTCTTATTTTTTTGCACATATTTTTTTCAAAAAATTTTCTAAAGTGACTCAAAAAACACAAAAGTATAAAATATTTTAAAATTTATTCTTATAATAAGATATTAATATATATTGTAAAAGAAAATTTTTTTATTCATGACATGTGTGGTTTTTTGCGAATAATTTTTTAGGTGGTCTTACTTTTTTGCTCAATACTGTATATGAAAATATGTTTAAGAGAAGAAAATAAACTTAACAAAAAAGATTTTAAAAAGAAATTTATATAAATATAGAATTTTATTATATTAAAAAAATTAGACTATGTATTTAATGTTTTTATAAAAGAGAAAGTGTTTTTTAAAGTAAAAATTAAAAAAGTATTTATTATATAAAATAATATTTAAAATTTAAAAATTATCATTAATATTCACCAACTAAACTTTAAATTATATTTAGAAAATTCTTAGACTTTGAATTAAAATTCAATTAAAACACATCTTGAAAATGTTTATTTTTTTAGATGATTTTATACTTAAATAAAAAAATTAGTTGAAGATTCTTTTTTGAATAATTTTTATAATATGATTATAAGTATAATAAATTTGTATTCTAAATAAGAAAATCACTTAAAATATTTATTATGAATGATAAACATCAATGAATATTATATAAAAATTATTATTAAAAATATATAAATATGTTATAATATATAATAATTAGAGG